CCTCAAGAAAGCATAAACAACTTAGATATTGAGCAGTTACAAAGTCGTCTTAGACACAGACTTTCTTGTCAGAAGTATCTACTAGTCTTGGATGACGTATGGAATAATAATCGAGCAAAATGGATAGAGTTGAAAGATTTAATTAAAGTGGGTGCAGTAGGAAGCAAAATCTTGGTGACAACAAGAAGTACCTCAATTGCTTCAATGATGGGCACTGTTCCCTCGTATGTTTTAGAAGGTCTTTCAGTGGAGAATTGCTTATCTCTGTTTCTGAAATGGGCATTTAGGGAAGGTGAAGAAAAAGAACATCCATATCTAGTGGATATTGGAAAAGAAATAGTGAAAAAGTGCCGAGGGGTTCCACTAGCACTGAAAACTTCAGGAAGTTCCCTGTTCTCAATTTTTGATTTAGAAAGATGGAAAATTTTGAGAGACCATGAGCTATGGAACCGAAAACAACAGAAAGATGACATTTTACCTTCCCTAAAGTTGAGCTATGATCAAATGCCATCCTATCTGAGGCACTGTTTTGCTTTATTTTCTCTTTATCCAAAAGATTTTGGTTTTACCTGTGCTGAAATTGCCAACTTCTGGGCCACACTCGGATTACTTCGATCTCCATTTGGAAGTCAGAAGATAGAGAATGTTGGAAAACTGTATATAAATGAGTTATATTCAAGATCATTTCTGGAGGACTTTGGCACAGTTTACTATTTTAAACTACATGATTTGGTACATGATCTTTCGCTGTATGTTGCGAAAGAGGAGTTTCTAATGGTGAACTCCCACACTCGCAGTATACCAGAGCAAGTAAGGGATATATCAGTTGTTGAGAATGATTCACTAAGGCATACTGTGTTCCCCAAGTCCAGAGGTGTGAGAACTATAATATTTCCCGTTGATGGAGTGGGTGTTGGCAGTGAATCCCTTTTGGAAACTTGGATAAAAAGATACAAATACTTACGGCATTTAAATTTAAGTAATTCCTCTTTTGCGACACTTCCTAATTCAATTGCTAAATTGGAGCATCTGCGAGCTCTCATTCTTGACAAGAAATTCAAAATAAAAAGACTTCCTAATTCTATTTGCAGACTCCAAAACTTACAAAAGTTGTCTTTGAGAAGATGCTTGGGGCTTGAAACATTGCCTAAACGATTAGGAATGTTAATCAGCCTCCGAAAATTGTATATAACCACAAAACAGTCTATTTTGTCCGAGGATGAATTTGCAAGTTTGAACCATCTTCATACTTTGGTTTTTGAATACTGTGACAATTTGAAGTTTTTGTTCCGAGGGGCACAAACACAACTCCCGTCCCTTGAGGTTTTGATCATTCAATCATGTGGGAAGCTGGAGTGCTTACCTTTCCATATTCTCCCTAAAATTGAGGTTCTGATAGTAACAAGGTGCTTGATGCTAATTCTGTCCTTGAACAGCGAAATACCAATCCAAAGATAGAAGATGAAATATTTGCATATTGAGCAATGTCCACAGCAATTGGCGCTGCCCGAATGGATTAAAGCAGCGTCCAACACTTTGAGAACATTGTCAATTTTAAATTGACATTGTCTTGAGATGCTTCCCGAGTGGCTTAGCACAATGACACGTCTTAAGATGCTTCATATTGTTAACTGTCCTCAGTTGTTTCATCTGCCATGTGACATGCATTGTCTAAGAGCCCTTGAAGATTTGATCATAGATGGTTGTCCTGAATTGGGTAGAAAATGTGAACCTCATTCTGGTGAGTATTGGTCCTTCATCGCTCACATCAAATGTGTTTCCATTGGAGAAACAAGAAAAAGGAAACTCCTTTTTCAAATGCTTTCACGACTGGGCTTGAACTGCACTCAGTAAAATTAAAAGGCTGCTTAACTTGAAGGCTGCAATTTAAATTCTGATCATGTGTGAAATCATCTAACATAAATATTATTCTTGTGGCTTGACAGATATTTACGCTTTTATGGCTTGTCTTTATACTTAAATAAAAAATATTTAATTCATTTTGGTTATAACACTTCTACCCTTAAACAATTTTCTAGATTCTTATAGATATTATGATATATGTACCCACTCCACAATCATACACTTATTATTTATTAAAATATTTTGGTAGTATTTATCATTGCATATGCTCAGGTACAATTTTTTGCTTTGCCATGTCCACCCCTTTGCCAATATTTAAGATTGCCAATATTTAAGATTGAGAGGTTGTATAATGGGAAATATTTTGTAGATCTTACAAACAATTCTTCCTATTCAAAATTGTTGGAATGTTGTGACTAAAAATATTACGTGATTGAAATAGTCAAATCAGTTAAATAAAAATATATTCACATTTTATTTTTTAGAAATATTTTATGTATTATTTAATTAATTAGTTTAGTAGGTATTTTTTTTAAATTAGTTACAAATTATAGTATAAATATTTACTGTATATATTCAATAAAAGATATCAGTTTACTTTTCATTCTTTTCTCTCTCATATTTTAAAACTCAACAAAAATTAGGGAGTTGTGTATTGATTAATATTTTTCGAACCTCGTAATTTTGTCTCAAATTAAAATTTGGACGTTGCATACTCAAGCATTTGGGGGCATAATGGATCGAAAATGTAAGACCCTTTGGTGGTTACCATATCCAAACAAGGCAGTTTCTTCTTGTACCCAATATAAAAAGAGTTTCTATATTACTTTTTTTGAATTGTATCTGTGTAATTTGAAAGTCATTTCTTTAAGAAAAAAAAAAGATTTTCAGATTTTATAACTTAGAATGCATTTTTAACATTTCGATTGCACAACCTGAAAAGAGAAAAAATGAAAAGTTTATTTATATGTACAGAATGAAATATACGGAGGTGGTGGGAGAAACTGCCCCGTACTACGCAATGTCTAATTCGCTATTAAATATTAATTAAGAATGGAATAAGAACCATTAATCTAAAGGGATTGCTATTTAAGATAATCATATCAATATAATAATAAAAAGAATCAACAAATTTTGGTGAGAGGAGAGAAAAGTAGAATTGCGTAACACGTGCTCTAGTAACAAGGGTGGATAAAAAAAAATCCAAATTGTAAAATCCAATCTATAAAAATTTAAATTAATATTATTTTAAGGCAATCAAAATTCAGTTATTCCAAATCAAAATCAAATTTTGGATTTTAAATTCAATCAACTAAAATTGAATTTGAATCTTATTTAAATTTGATTATTTTTTCAATTTTGAAAATCCAAAACTAAGGTGTGTCTAAGTCGAGTCAAGGCAGTGAAGGACCTGGTCGAGCCAAGTCGATCCAAGTCTAAGGTCTAGCAAAGTCGAGCAGTTTCAAAGTTTTAGCATAGGTTGGAAGTTGAGTCAAGTCAACTTAAGTAGAGTTAAGTTTACTCATAGTGCAGTCGAGCTGACTCAAATTAGGTCAAAGAATCAAGTCGAGTAATTGGGACCAAAATTTAAACTAAGTCGAGCCAGGTCAAAAGTTAAATCGAGTCAGTTCGGGTCGAAGGTTGACTCGAGACAACTTGAGCTAAAGGTCAACCATGAGTTAGCTTGGACCTCAAGTCAAACCGAGTTAGCCAGGACTGTAGGTCGAGGAGATTTGTCTTGTGAGCAGAGGTCAACTCGAATCGATTGGGGCTAAAGGTTGTCATGTTGGTTGGGGCCAAAGGTTGAGTAATTCCAGCCTGGACCAAAGATCGAGCCAAGTTAGCTCCAAGCTGTCGAGTCGTGTCAACTCCGAACCAAAAGTCAATTCATGTTAACTTTAGGTCAAAGGTCGAGTCGAGTGGACCCAAATTAATGGTCTAACTGAGTGGGTCTAGGTCACAAGTTCGAGCCAAATTAGCCTGAATCGAAGGTGAAGTTGAATAAACCAGAGCTAGAGAGAGCCAAGTTGACCCTGACCAGAGGTTGAACTAGGTCAGCTCGAAAGTTGAGTTGAGTCAACCTCAAGCCAAAGGTTGAGTTGAGTCTCACCTAACCAAAGATTGAGTCAAGTGGGTTTGGGTCAAAGGTTGAGACTGGTCAATCCAGACCAAAGGTCAACTTGTGTCAACTCAGGCTGTAGGTTAACTCAGTCTAGATCATATATCGACACAAATCGGCCTAGACCCAAGTTGACTTTAGTAAGCTTTGGCTAATATTGAAGTGGGATGACCCAAACCCAAATTAAGTTGAATAAATCTGACCTAAGTCAACGAAGTAACGTGAGTTTAAATCGAGTCAAATTGACTCGTTCTATTACTATAGATTGATATTTGATCTAATTAAAAAAATATTCAATTTAGATGAACCTATATTCAAATTTAAATTGGATTGGAAAAAACCAAATCTAATAAGAATAGATCTAAATTATAAATCCAATCTATTCATCTCAAATGTGGATTTTAAAAAATTGAAATTCATTACCACCCTTATCTCACAGCTCTGACTAAAACACATACACATAATAAAAATAGAAATTGTGCTGTACCCCTATAAATTCTGGGTGTTTGGAACGGTTGGTTTTTAAATTGTTAACCTTATGAAAATATTACAACAGTAAACCTGAATCCCTATCCTTTGTAATGTATGGAACGCTTCTGAATGGATGGGCCATGGAATAGCGTTAATTCAGCAGACTGTGCATGATGAGCAGCGGAACTAAAATGGATGAATTCTGAATTAGTTATAGAAAATTGGTCTTAATGTCAATGTAATGCAATTCATAAATATGTAGTTCAGAAGCAGAGCTGGTTTTTATTTATGTAGTTGGAGAGAGGCTGATGATAATTAACTAAACCAAAGCATCACAAAGGAGATGCAGAAAAACTGATTAAGAATAAAAGATATCGAGAGATGAAATTTAAAAATCAAAAGGAAATGGATTTAGCTCAAAGTAGTGGATAGCTTACAGTTGCACCTAAGGGTTCAGGTCTCTGTGCTGCTGATATCTGTCATAAGGGGAATTTAAATACAATAATGTTTTCTTTCACAAATATATTGAAATTAAAATACCTACTAATAACGGCTTTTACAAATATGAACTATTATTTTATAAAGTCATTGGTGTAAAGTATCCACCAGTTCCATAGAGGAATAATCTCCATTGGAGAACCTAGTTGGTCACTTTTAGTAGAATATTTCCTACCAACCATGTTTTTTCTTCCACAAGACTTGAACTTGGGATATCGTTTAAGGGGATAGTAAACAGTTAATTTCTCTTCCTCCATACTGTTTTGTTGTCTCTAAACATGATCTTAATTCTGCAAATCCTGCAATTTCAATCGAATCTTCTTCTGCATTTGGAAGAGGAGTTTCCCTTCTCTTGTTTCTCCAATGGAAAGGTGTTTGATGTGAGCAATGAAAGACCAGTACTCACCATTTTGTGGCTCACATTTTCTGCACAATTCAGGACAACCTTCTATGGTCAAATCATCAAGGGCAGTGAGGCTATGCATTTCACTGGGGAGACACAACAGTTTATGACAGTTAACAATATGGAGCATCTTAAGATGAGTCATTGCTGTAAGCCACTCAGGAAGCATCTCAAGACTATACAAATTTGAAATAAACAACGTCTGCAAAGTTTCTGCAGCTCCTTGAATCCATTGAGGCAATGTCTGTTGCCTTGGACATTCCTCAATATGCAGAAACTTCATCCTCAATCTCGCGATGGGGTTTTCACAGTTCAAGGACAGATTTAGCATCTCACACCTTATGACAAATAGAACCTCCAGTTTAGAGAGAATATGAAATGGAAAGGACTCTAGACGCCTACATGATTGAACAATCAAAACTTCAAGGGATTTGAGTTGTTGTGCCCCTCGGAACAGAAACATCAAATTGTCACAAAATTCGAAACTTAAATTATGAACATCGGTCAAACTTGCAAATTCATCCTCTGACAGAATAGACTGTTTTGTGGTGATAAAAAATTTTCGAAGGCTGATTAACATCCCGAATCCTTTAGGCAATGTTTCAAGCTCCACACATCCTCTCAAAGTCAAAACTTGCAAATTTTGGAGTTTGCATATGGATTGAGGAAGTCTTTTTATTCTTCGGTTATTTTCAAGACTGAGAGCTCGCAGATGCTCCAGTTTAGCAATTGAATTGGGAAATGTCTCAAAAGAGGAATCACTTAAATCTAAAATACGCAAGAATTTGTATCTTGTTATCCATGCATCCAAAAGAGCTACACTGTCAACACCAACTCCATCTGTCGGAAATAATATGGTTCTCACTCTACTGGACTTGGGAAACAAAGCATCCCTTAGTGAATCATTTTCAACAACTGATAAATGCCTTACTTGCTCGGGTATATTCCGGGTGCCTGAGTCTACCACAAGAATCTCTTCTTTTGCAACATACTGGGCAAGATCATGTACCAAATCATGCACTTTGAAATAGTAAATGTTGCCAAAGTCCTCAAAATCCTCAAGAAATGATCTCGAATGTAACTCGTCTATATACAGTCTTGCAGCATTCTCTAGCTTTTGACTTCCAACCTCAGATCGAAGTAACCCGAGTGACATCCAAAGATTAACAACTTCAGCACCAGTAAAGCCATAATCTTTTGGGTAAAGAGAAAAGAAAGCAAAACAGTGCCTCAAATAGGAAGGCATTTGGTCATAACTCAACTTAAGAGCAGGTAAAATGTCATCTTTTTCTTGTTTTAAGTTCCTAGATGCCATGGTCTCTTACAAATTCCCACCTTTCTAAATTAAAATTTAAGAACAGAGAACTTCCTAAAGTTCGCACGGCTAGTGGCACCCCTCTACATTTTTTCACAATTTCTTTTCCAATCTCTACTAGATTTGAATATTTTTTTTCTTCGCCTTCCTTAAATGCCCATTTGTTAAACAGAGCATAACAATTCTCCAGTGAAAGACCTTCCAAAACGTACGAGGGAACAGTTCCCATCATTGAAGCAATTGAG